CTGGTTTATGGTATCGCAAGCTATTGTTAGCTTTTGTCAAGTTACTCCGAAGATGCAATAAAGTGAGACAATAACTATTATGATTCACATATGAAGCGTTATGTTATACGAAACTCGGCGAAGTTTAATTTATTCATTATAATGTTTGCCAAGTTTTAAGAAACAATAGTAAAAACTAATCTTGATGGACGAACTTTTTGGGTTTTACTTTACGTCGTCAAATTAATTTCTTTTTTAAACTTTGACTTTGCCTTTAACTAATACAATTTATTGATTGGATTTGTGTAAATGTAAATATATAAATAATATCGGCGTCGACTTTTATTAATAAAGTAACAATAAATTAACAAGTAGCATAACTTTACGACAAACTTATTTATTTATAGCACCATGTTGGGCGCCAAGATTTCGAATAAGTCGTAAAAATTCAAGTTAAAACTATTGGAGCGCCGCTATTTATTGGAACCAACTTGTTATGTGACATTGTTTCAGGAAAATTACTAGTTTTAGCTGCCAAATAGATAAAGCCGTACTTAAATAAAAATTTGGCATATTTTCATAACGGATCAGATAATTTTGAACATTAATATCAAATGGAGTTAACGAAACATAAATATTTAATTAAGCAGATATAACTTGAATTACTTATTCCTGTTATAAACCAGTTGGCTCAATGTCCGACTTCATTCCCGGGGGACCCCCTCACAAATAGAGCCAAGTTGTCTCGGATTGTAGATTTGAAACAAAATGGAAACGGACAGGTGAATCTAGAGATTTTAAAGTTAGAGTGGATTTTATCGCTACTGTTTCAGTTCGCCTATTTTAGTTTGAGACGAATTTATTGGTTATTTGAATAGTGTCTTGAAACTATTCTCGAATACGTATTTTCAAGAGGTTGAATAAGCGGTAGATTTAAAAAGACAAGTGATTATTCTTTTTTTGTGTTTGAAATCGTGTCAGCAGTTGCAATCGAAATATCATTTGAAACATTTTGGTTCTAATTACATCCTACAAATTCATATATCCATAATTCATTCCTGCGTATACCTTATTAACGATAATACAATCGTCCCTTCCAAAAATATGCAAACAAGTACGCACGAATAGAGAACAAAGACAAATACACATATCGTGAATTCGTTGGCAAACCTAATTCCTTTTCTCGATAACGAACAGTGCATTTCGAATTGGCATAAATTATTGGCTCTAAAGAATACTGCACATGACCAATAGCACAAGACCTGTCTACAAAAGAAGCTTACCGTATAACAAATAATATTTCGAGGGACCCTTTTAAAATTGCCGTTGGCATAACTGATTTATATTCCGCGGCCGGGCATGAAAAAGTGCAAATTTATGCAAAGTGCATCAACATTTGGCACTTAACGAGGCTTTTTCAGGCTGTACTACTCTACTCGGTGAAGTATTTAATGGGTTGCAATAAAAGGACTATGTTCGTATCGTTTGCAACTTTCTGTATAATTAATATAATCAAAACGGTTTTGACAATGGTCGTGGTTGGACGTTTGATGTTAATAATATATCACGAAGTGATCAGTTAACTACTTTTTAGATGTTCTTTAAAGTTTTATGGAAAAAATAAATAATCTGCAATTTAAGTATGCTTTCTTATCTTGTTTCTTTGTATTGTGCCCTATGTAGTGTGCAATAAAGTATATATTTTTATTAAAATTTGATGACAAATAAAGCCATATTTACCTCAAAATATACAAAAGTAATAATAAATCGACAAGGTGTATTCTTTCATAGTAAACTTCTTTGCTACACCATGTTGGGCGCCAAGATTTCGAATAGGATATATAAAACCTATATAGCCGGCAGGCGAACTAATAAATTTCCTGAAAACGTCCACAAGAGTCAAATAGCATAATAAAATTGAATTAATAATCATCTAGCATGTTAAGTGGCACGTAATAATCATGATTTCTTGTGAGCAAACCTGATTAAATCACACGACTCAAGATATTATCACTCCTAAGATTTTGTTATACCTCGTTCTCTTGAGCAAATAGAATCTTCGTTTTGCTATGGATAATATTAAATAGGGAGAATCTCACTGGCAAAATTAATACAAATTTTTTGAATGAATGTAATGACTTTTAAATGTCTACACTTAACTCGTATCCCAGTAAAATACACTTTGTGAAGTCGTCTAGTATAATAATAAATTCACCTATGAGTTCCACTATTATCCCATGAGTTATTAGTAAAACTTTAGGTAAGATAATTATACAAATGAAACTTTGGATAACATAAGTTTAGAAACGAAAACCACATTAGCCAAATGGAAATGATCAAGATTTTGCACTCTTTTCTGTCGACGACCTATATTTGATAATTTTATTTTGAACTAGTCTCGGACTTGATTTTAGTTTAGGACGTTTCGATAGAACAGAATCGATAGATAGAAGTGACGGACGGTTACTAATCATTGCAGTTTTTTTGAAGCAGTCATCCGTCTAAAAAATACTTGTAATTTGTGCGAAACGAAACATTCACAAGATGGATTAAAGGTATAGTCAGGATCGGCGGGAAGCGTTAGATGAGGACCGTGTGGGACTGATCGTTCTTTGTGGAGATATTTGGAAGAGGTCTTTGACCAGTATCCGGCATACGGAAAGAAAAGCGACTTATACCATAACTACGTTTTCAAAACTCTATATCATTCTTTTCCTTAAATATACATAAGCACGTTAGCATGCTATTTAGCATAGCATAATCTCATTACCTTTTGCATTATTAGAAATTATATAGGTACATTACTGTAGTCAGGAACTACTTTAGGTATGTAGTAGAATTTTGGAGTCACCTTTTATAAGTCCCCTGCAATAACTATTAAACCGTAATATTTTACAACCTGGTTACCCACTTAATATGCAAACAGTCTCTTGCATCTACTCATTTCAGCTATTTAATATAATATATAGTTTTACAGATATTACCACGTTACACAACGGAAGAATCCGTTTCACTAATTAAACTCGATTCAGTGGTCATTAACATAATTCAGAGAAGAAAATTAACTAGAAATTAAACCCATGAAGTTACGTGGCTGGCAGATAGTAATATATTTTTATCAATGCAAAACTATTCACATAAAGGAGGGACCTGTATAAAAAAGCAAAAAAATAATTATTTGCTCATTACAATCAACAAGCGACATAATTTAGTTTCCTAGTTAATCTGTGTCGGATTGAACTATTTAATGCGTTAGTCCTCACAAAGTAATCTTAGAGATTTGCAATTTCCTCACGAGGCGGAAGTGCTTTCAACACCCCCACCCCGCATACACTTCCCCCACTCCTGAACCCTTCTTAGACGGAATACTTGAGCTCGAAAGAAAAAGGTTCTTCTTGAGATATGAATTTCGCTTAATGACAACGTTTCGCACCCTAAAAGATTGTAATGAAATACTATTTACTGTAGTATAAACTCTGGTTTTCCTTGCTCTTTACTTTCATGATAAAGGAAAAAAAGCAATTAGCGTGGAATTTAAATTAAAGGTAAAATTTGCAAGAAGGTTAAATTTTATCTCTAGTAAATAAATATGGATTCGATAGTTTAAAAGATACGTACGTATACTTGATTCCTATATATATACACAGTTGATGTTATTAGTGTAAGTGCCTTTATGTGAATGTATATAGAAATTTAGTGTAATTTCGAGTATTACAAGTAAGAGTATAAAATGAGTTGCACGAATCGGGTTAGCATACTACTCATTTAATACAAGACAGCAAATCAATTTAGATGTATATAAACTAAAATTTGTTGATGGTTTGTGCCATTCCGGTTTCATACAACTCACTCGATAAACTGTTTATAAAATACGATTATATAACAGTTATATTTAAAAAACAAAGGTTTTAAAGAATGTAATGACTAATATCAAACTGAATGAAACTAAAACAAATATGTAAAAAAATCGTAATACAAAATGAGGTAATTCCTGGGTGTAGAAGCAGTTTATTCCGTGTTAAGAAAATTTTATATTCACGTCATCTGGTGACTACGAAATTTCTTAACATCGTCAAGAGCTGGTTTTTACAATAATAAAATTTGAGATCTCGTTTTAGTGGATCATTTTCATTATAACGAAGGAATTAAGAAAATCGTGAAAAAACAACTATTACGTATTTATAAACAGTTCCAATTTCCATGTATAACAAGTGTGAAACAGTTATTTTCACTACCATGCCAACTAACGATTAGTTAAAAAAAAGAACTATAAATCCGTCCGTCTCCTTCCAAAATAATGAATGCCAATAATTTCACTAAGCGCCTAAATGAAAGCTTAATGTCATTAGATAAAAGGAAAAAATATATATTAAAAAATCTATACCGGCTTTTACAACGAAATGCAAATTTAAAAGTACCCGTAAAATTGACGTAAATATGAGGATTCTCCGTCAACTCACTAAAATAACAGCTAAATTTAGATTATTTATATATTAGTGCTATTATCGGCAATCATAAAAAGATGGGACCAATCATAAAACATAGGAACATATTCAATTTATTGAAAATTATTACGTAGTAATAACCTTATAACTAACATTAAAACAAATATCAGTCTATCATATAAAAATATTGGAAAGCTATTCAGACATACAATGTAAGCATTCAATGATAAAAAAAAAACAAATTATTCTTTAAACATTGATCAACCACGAGGGAAAGTCGCTTCCCGTTTCCGACAAGTCACCGAAAGGGTACATTTATATCGATACGTTTGTTTACATTATGTTATATATGATAGACTCGAATTTGCGATATACTTTTACGCCGGGGTAACATCAAAAAATATTTAATGTAGAAATAAATTAACATTACCAAGACGTATCTTTCAAAGAGGGAGAAATACCACCGACACCCTTTTCTTATAAAAGAAAAATAATTTAAGATGATAACGAACATTATAATAGATTAATTAATAAAAAAAAATGTAGGTGGTAGTATCGAAGTGAAGGTAAACTTACGTGTGTAATCCCAACTGTCTTGGTCGTTTTTGAACACGTTCAGTCTTTCGGGCTGAAACAAAAATGCATGTTAGAATCTTGTCGAATGTTGACCAATAATCACTAACTTGAAATTGTTTTTTTTTGTACCAAATAATAATAAATAAATAAGTCGTAATTAAAAATATGATAACTACTATTCCATTCTACGTAACGGACAGTGAGGACCTATAAAATTTCTGATTACAGTTCAACCTTAATGTTGTCTACCGCGTTTTATACTATAAAACCAAAAAGTAATGAGTTTACAAAAATAAATGTTCTCTCTGTGAGAAATTTTGTCAAAAATTTAAGATAGATTTGGTCTGCAACTTACTCCGATGAAGAATAAGGTAAGAATCGATGTGAGCATGAAAAACTCGAAAATCTATACTGATATTCTAAAGAGAAAAGATATTATTGTTAAATTGCATTGAATAGACTCCGGAACTACAAAAACGATATTAAAAAACTCTTTCACCTATGGGAACCTACAACGTACGAGAGTGAATATTAACGTCAAGTGTAAACATAAGTATATTGTCGTGATCTAGATTAAAGAGCGAGTCTCATTGTCAAACTCTATTCGGTATATCTTCGCAACTCATAAACAAGAGTTTATGCCTCGATCTAGATTCAACTAGAGTACCAACCGTCATGGAACCAGTTCAGCACAGCTATTATAGTACTATTATAGTACACTAGTACTAACAGTGGCTAATATGACAAGCATAATGATAAACGACAGAGACGTCACATTAGCACAAGTGCCGTGCCAATATCCGTAACCAACGTAACCGAATGGGTCGCAACCACAAATTGACCCGAATTGAAGCGGCGCCCGCACCGTTGTTAAGTGGACCAGATTACCGAGTACCTAACCGAATAATCGAAACGCCAGATCCCACTAAATACATCACTATAATGGCATGTAACTCACTAAATATCGGATGCATTTACGTAATAGTGAAAAAGGAATGTACAGACAGTACACGTCAAGAATACCGCATAAAGTGTTCACACACTCGATGACTTCACTTACATACGAAGATAAATATAATTTCAGACAATTTTGCTAAATGCCTGTATTTCATATTCAGACAGTACAGTAGCATATTGATAAATATACTATTGTATTTAAAAAAAAAGAGTCGGGGTCGCATGCAGAAGGTTCCCCACAAATATTACTTTTTAAAACCATATACTTCTAATTGGTTTTCCTTTCATTCATAAGTAAGCAATTATTTTTTGTCCTTTGTTTCAAAATTCTATGTTTTCTCATTTCGGAGATCAGAAGCGGGAACTAGTAAAAAGGTTTTAAAAACTACTAAAAATATTCTATATTAACTTCAAAAGTATTAAGCTTGAAATATTACAGAACAAATATTTGCGGTTCTCGCAATAAGCCCTTTTATTGTCACCGAATATAGTTTAGGAAACATTATTTTAAACTTTTATAATTTACCCCACAAAATAGGCGAAAAGTAAAAGATTCTATAAGTGTTTCGTTTTTCCTTTTGTAGTGCGGAACACTTGAAATACAAAAACAACTCTTTATGATTTAAGTTATTGTCGACTGCGATTGTGGCCGCCAAGTGTCATAAGGTTGGTTGGGTCAAAATTAAAGATTTGGCAAATGCGCTGAGACTGAGAGTCGCCGAACTGGTGATTTAATATTATCGCAATCCCACATCGGGTCAATGTATTTTTACATGACAGCTCAAAAACATAATGTACATACAGCAGTGTTGGGCGAAATTTAATTGCAATTAACTATTAGATCCCGGTGACACAAAATTAGGATACAAAATATTTTTAAAAATCTTAAGACTCACATGTAAGTACGTAATTTTGTGTTGAGAGAACAAATGAATATTATTATTAATAATTAACAATTGATTATTTTTTTATCCTGTAATTAACTTTAATCAAATTAAAGCATCGTAAAAGAACTTATACAAGATAAAGGGGTGGCACAGGGCAGCACTTCCATAAGGTTAACTGATGATCTTGCAAAGTCAAAAGGAAGCCTTTGGTTCCAGGCCGCGCTAATTCAATCTTTGTGGGAGTTGGGCTCTTTACCAATGGCTCGATGCGATGTAATTTCGATATTGATGAGCGATATAGCCCTTCTAAAATATAATATCAAAATATATTCAATTTGCCAAAATTTTTTGCAATATATTTATATATGAGAATAAACAAGTAAAAAGCTAGATGGTGTAATGTTTAGCGCGTTTATGACGATCGCAAAGGTCGGTAATTGGATGGGTGGTCATATATTATTGGCAAAGCTATTAAGGACGACTACGTGGGTCCAGTTCGGATTGCTGGGTAGATCAGTTTCATCTATTAAATAATACCTGTGCTTTAGAACAACGAATCCGCATGGGAAGACAGAAAAAAAGGAACAGAAAGAAGGAAGTAAGTAAGAAAGAGAGAAAAAGCCATAAAATTAAATACAGAATGACAAAAAGAAAGAAGGAACGAAAGACGGAAAGAAGGAAGGAAAGAAAAATAGAGGGAAAAACGAATGCCGCCTGTCCAGCCCCACCCTCAAAAAAGAGAAAAATACATTAAATCTAATACATAAACCATTACTATTATAATAAAGTGCTCCAAAGACTATAAAATCCCTTTTAAATAACTTCTGATTTCTTCCGTTTGCCATTTCCGTCAGCACCTATCCACTAATTTTAAAGGAAATGCTGAAAGTACTAGCTTAACTTCAAAGCGAGGCTTCGCTTTGTACGTAGACTTTTTGGCGCTCATTTCCATAACACGCTTGAAATCATTTAAAACATATTTTGTCTACATTTCTAAACATGATAACACTTGCGGTATATATGAGTTAGGGTTGCTATTTTTTTGAAAAATATATATTATTATTTTGGAAAAAAAAAGGGAAATAGTACTGTTTATTCGTATAATATATTGTTTTTTTTTATAATCCTTTGCTATTCATAATATAAATAGTCTATTTATTCTAATAAAAACAATGAAAAATATGGAGCTTGCTATCATTACTTTTTTTAAAACATCAAAGTTAGAAATATTAGTAATATATTTAATTGTTTTATGTAACGTGATATCTTCATTCATTGTGTTCACACCATAATTTTATAGGACTCTTTTGTTCTTAATGTATTCATCAGTTATTAAGTTTATTACCTCACTCATATTTAGGTGACAACCATAGCTGCAAACATTGTGGTAAAAATGATATATTACTTCTGCTTGTTTGCGTTCATACTGTATGTTAGCAATTCTTTATCTACAGTGATGCACTGAAATACAGTCTGCAAAACACAGTATATTGAACTTTATTTTATATTAGCTATGTTCCCGCGACTTCGCCCGTGTGTATTATAGACTTTGTTACCCTTCTATGATATAGCATCCCGTGGGTGAAAGATTTTTTTTAAATCAGTCCACTAGTTTCAGAGCCTTAAATTTAAAAAAAATATTTTCTTTTGATTATATAAGTATAGAAATAAGGTAAGTAAGAGATGCAAATAAGGCCTATATAATTTCAAATACTCATATCGAAAGAGCAATTAAGATTTACACATATGTAATTTAGAAATCTTTGCATTTGTTCTTTTTAAAACATATTGATTTAACAAGGCCTACATATTTAAATAATATATATTTTGTTACTACTGTTAATTAGATAAGCATATTAATCACTTATCGCAAATATTTCTTATTTCTAATATTGTAATGGAATGTGACTTTATATTCTAATGAAGTCACATTTAAATAAGACTAAGTGTGAAATAAAACAGGGAGAAAAAAAACAGCCCTTGCTGAGTTTCTTGCCGGTTCTTCTCAGTACAAGGTCTCCCGCCGTAGTTTTGCGAACCGATGGCGTAGTTTTCGTTTTTTTTATAAAAATATGATTTAACGCAACCCCGTACGTTCTGGACTCGTTTAATTTGTTAGTTAATACAAGATAAAACTTTTAGACCTACAAAAATTCATACGCCATCAAAATACAGTTTTATTATATTTATCGATATACAATAGGGATGATGACTAATTTTTGTTTGTTTGTCCGTCAGGTAGAGTGTTAAAAAATATTAAACACGTATTTTTTTATTTATTTTGTAATCATAAAATTACGGCGTTACATTGAGTTGAAATTTCGCATGACGTCACGTTAGAGTACGTTTTCTACTCAACTGTGACGAAGCGAGCCCCCACTCCTCAACTTTAATGCCTGTTATCTAAGCCATTTCTTGTTAAATTGAAGTAAAAAAAAAAATACGTATCTAATATTTTTCTATTATCTGACTGACAGACTAAATAGAATTGCATTTTTTTACCCAGTCATCATCCCTATTTAAACATACAGCCATGTTTTTTTCAGATGAAGGGTTATACGATAGCACGAGTTCGCGTAATCGAAATACCCCAAACAAACAAAACCCATAGGCTATTGTCTAATTTCAAAATCTAGCACAATCCCTTTCAAAGGTATAGCGATTGTGATATATAAATTTTAAGTCACCATCGCTTTTAGAACGAATGATAATTTGAATGATCGAGAAACAATAAAAATTACCTTTTTTTTTTCCTTTATTATCAAGTAAACAAACATATACATAACAAACAATTTAAGATAACATCTAAAAACCACTGAGGTTTGATTTGTGTTATCAGAGTTTACATTTGTTTTTATTTTCGTAATTATAAAATCAGATGCAACATATTATTACAAATATGAACATTACAATCAATAGACAGTTACAATAATAGCCTTAAATGATTTACAATGTATTAAAAAAGTACCTCTATAACTTGTATTTTATATTTTTTTGGGATATGCTGTCTTTTAATTCTGACGGTAAGTCATTAATAAGTCGAGGCATAAGGTAGGTAGTTGTTCGCTCACCGTAGGCATTGTTTGCTCGCGGCTCGCAGAGTTGTTTGTTAGCAATCGCCCGAGTATATACAGGATGTGCAACTGGGACCCTCAAATCATCATTAAAGAATTGTTCTTTGAGTAAAGTGTATTGTACCTGAATATGT